GGAAGTGAATTATCGATGTCGAAGTACGATCTGTTGGAATTGATTTCAGCGAATAAACGACATAGTTTTTCCAAAAAACTAGTAACTAGCCATTTTTGAGAGGTAAACTGAATATGGCATGAAATATTTACCGCATTTTACTTGTATTAACAGGTCATTATCGAAGCGTAGTTTATGCACGGTTACCGCGTTCTAGGCATTCACAGCATGTTCACAACGGTCGATATCCACGCTGTATCATATAAAAACGATTACGGTACCAAGATTCGTTACGCAAGACCAAGTTTTAAATTAGTTGCATTTTGAAGGGGTGGGCGCTTTGCCAAATGTGACCCCAAATATAAAAATTGCGCAAAAGTGGGGGGTGGGCGCCTGCCCGGGCATGGGCGCTAACGCGGTCGAGTACGGTAGTTACGAAATTTGCAAAATTTTTCAATAAAATGGTTACAGGAAAAAAACTATAGCATTAAAGGCGTAAACAAGCGAAAGGATGTATAAATCAGAATTTCAGTCTGCCCTGACTAGCACCAAAAAAAAAAAAACATCAGGCAAGACAGTGGTGTCTTCAACTTGTGGAGGTCATACATAAGTACCAGGATGTGTGACCCTTTTGAGTTCAAGCATAAGTACCAGTATGTGTCACCTTTTGGTGGGTATAGACAAGGCCTATGATTACGCATAATTAAAATTAACTCACTTTTCAGAAATCTATTTCCAACCCATCGGTTCTGTTTCCGAGCATACTGTCTGGTTGCTAACTTTAAAGCCTGGATGCCATTTTCCAGTAATTTCTTGCCATGATCCTTGTCTTTCTCGTCTTCTGGTAAAAGCAAATACGGGTGAAACTCCTTAAATCCGATAGACTGAAATATACCATGTGTGTACAGTTCTTCACTGAAATTCAAAATGCACGTCTCTGTAAATGGGTGTTTTCTGAGACTTTGATAAAAACATGCAGCTTTTGAACACAGGACTATATTGTGGAAGGTTACAAGAGTTGACAGTAATGGTGAAAGGGCTGATGAGTTAACTTTCACAGTGCCCCCCTCTCACATGCCAAAATCAATGATGCGATATTGGATGTCAAACAGGCAAAAATATTGATTTAAAATTTTTTTACCATGTTTGAATAGTGAAGTTGTGAATTCAAGTTTGCTCAACAAATCTGTTTTAGCAGGTTTGAATTATGCTGGTAACTATAGCAATCGCCATTTTGGCATGAATTTCAGCCAAACTGCATGTACCTAAAGTGGTG